ACATATATTGATGTTGTATGACATTTTTAATCCTTCTAGAAAGATACCTAGAAGCTGCTTTGAATGAGACCTCTAATCCTAGATTTTAAGGAATTTCCATACTGATTTCCACAGTGGCTGCACAAGTCTACATTTCCAGCAACAGTGGAGAAGGGTTCCTTTCCCCCTGCAACCCCTCCAGCATTTGTTATCAGTTGATTTTTTTATGATAGCCATTCTTTTCGGAGTGAGATGAAATTCAGTGTTGTCTTAATTTCATCTCTCTAATGACCAGTGATGCTGAACATTCTTTCATGTATTTATTTGCCATTTGTATTTCTTCATCTGAAAAGTGCATATTCATTTCAGATGCCCATTTATGGATTGGGTCTTTGAATTTGGAAGGGGTCTGATTTTTTTCAATTCTGTTATGCACTATGTATAAGTCTTTTGTCTGTGGGATAAGTGGCTGTAATTTTTTCCCACTTCCTGGTTTGTCTTTTCACTCTGTTGATGATTTTGAGTTGAGTTGATTGACGTATTTTTAATATTATTATGTTTTCAGTTCTCCTTTGCTAGGTTGAAAATCATTTTATGTTTATTTTCTTAGTGGTTATCTTGGTTATTATAACATGCAGACTTAATTTAACAATGTCTAAAATTAATCAGTATCTTTATCCTCCAAACAATTTAAGAACCTTACAATGCTTTAACTCTCATTGCCTCTCTTTTAGGTAGTTTACTATTTTTGTCTCGTATTTTGAGCTATAGCTTTTGTAACCTCACAATGTGATTATTGTTGCTTTATTCAGCCAATGTGTGTTTATTTAGATTTGTCTCTGTATTTACAGTATTTAATCTCATTGTTTCTTCTTTATCTTAGACATTTCATCTGAGATAATTTTCCTTCTGCCTAATGTACATTCTTAGACCTTGATAGTGGGAGTCATTTACTTACTTCAGCCTCATTCTCAAAGGTTGATTTCACTAGGGATGAACTTGAAATCATTCTTGTAACATGTTGAAAATATTATTCAACTATTTTCTGACTTTACCAGTGCTACTGCAAAGTCAGTCATTGGTTTAATTACCGTGCCTTTGAAGGTAATTACCGTATCTGTCTTTCCCCTGATTTTCAGAAAATGAAAGTATAAATACTTTTTTATAATTTATGAATCACAAATGTAAAGTCTCTTGAATTTTTACCAAGTAAATACATCCACTTAATCATCAGCTACATTTTAAAAAATAAAAATAAAACCTCTGCTGGGCTTGGGGGTCCATGCCTATAACCCTAGCACTCAGGAAAGATGAGACAAAAGGATCATAATTTGAGCCCAGCCTGGGCAACTCAGCAAGACCTTGTCTCAATAATAAAAAATAAAAAAGTGCTAAGAATGTAGCTCAGTGTGAAAGCCCTGGGTTCAACCCTGATTGCAAGTCAGTCCATCCATCCATCCATCCATCCATCCATCCATCCATCCATCCAACCATCTAACCATCCATCCTTGCAAGCAGTCTGGAAGCCTCTCTCAGTCATAATATAGGTCTCTAAAGGTAAGTACTGTTTTGTTTTGTTTGAGACAGGGTCTAACTATGCTGGTCCTAAATTCAATATGTAGCCCAGGCTACAGCTATTCTCCTGTGTCCTGGGATTACAGATGTGCACCACCACAACTGGCTAAGTACTATCTTCGTATCTATCTTCATAGATGAGTTTTGCCAATATGTAAACTACCTTTTTTCTGAGCTGTCTTTTCTGTTTTGCAAATGTGCTCTACTTTGATTAGGTGATGACTTCATTTTTCATGTCCTGCTCAGCATTTGTTATCACACCTAGAACTGAGTTTTGATGCCTTTTCACACTTTCTGAAAATTTCTAGTCATCAACTTTCTCACTATCACCTTCTTCCTGTTTTTTTTTTATCATTTTACTCAAGCAAGTAAATTTTCAAACTTACCATATCCTTCATGTCTCATCCTTTATTACATGCAGTTTATCTCATTGTTTCCCTGGTTCACATCCTGAATTTGTCTTTCAGTTTAGTAATTCGTCTTTCAGTTGTGATGAACATACTGTTGTAGTTGGTCATTTGTTACAGTTCCTTTTCTTTGATCATTTCAAGCTTATTTTTCATAGCAGCAAGCATTTTAAACATATTTATTTTATGTTTTATTTCTGACATGTCTAAAACACTTAGGCTTCTGATTGTGCTATTATTTTGGCTGGATTTTACTTACAGTACTTTGTTTCTCTATATGTTCTGTAGTTTTGATACCTTCTTGTTGTTGTTGTTTTTTTTTTTTTTTTTGAAATTTCATATCAGGAAATTTTTTAAGGCCTCAGATGAGATTGGACTCTACCAGAGAAAATTTGAGTTGCTATCTGCCAGGAACTTGGAAGGTGTATCAACTCAGGAAACTTAAATTGCCTTTTGACTGAGAATTTAGCAAACAAACTCAAATGAATGGCTTTACCTGTTAGGGAAGAATTTTTCCCACCTTCCAACATCAAGTTAGGATTTTTAGTTTTCCTTGTTGTTCCCTTCTGCATAGTGGGTTTATTTTTAATGCAATTTTTATTTTAGGGTAGTTTTATATTTATAGAAAAGTTTCAAAAATAGTGAAAAGTCTCAAATACTTTGCATTTAGTTCTCTATATAATTAAAATCATTCATCTGTATAGTACATTTATCACAATTACCTTGCCAAAATTGATAGTCTTATATTAGTAAGGTCCATCATTTATTCTGATCTCTTAGTTTTTACAGAAAATTCTTTTTCTGTCCCAAGATTTCATTTAGTTTTTACAGAATATTCTTTTTCTGTCCCAAGATTTCCCTTAGGATGTACTATATTTAGTCGTCATATCTTCTGAGGTTCTTCTTGGCTGTGATAGTTTCTCATGCTTTAGTTTTTGATGACCTAGAGAGCTTTGAGAGTAGTGACCCAACACTGTATAGAATATACCTTGACTGGAATTTGTCTGATGTTTTTCTCATGATTAGGCTGGAGTGCCCTTGGGAGAAGAAGGCCGCAGAGCAGCTGCATTTTCCGTCATTCTTCCACAGAGGATATAGCCCTTGTTATCTCAGCGTTTTGCAGTCTGTATGTTGGTTTGCACACTGCGTGTATGTGTAAGGCCTTGTCTCCTGGCTTCTCATTTTCAACAGCCATTAAGTTAGAAGTTCTAAGTCTTCAGGATTTGACAGATGTAACAAGGGCAAAAGTTGATGGAGGAGCTTCTTCTGTGCCAAGGTCTTGGCTTTCACTTTGGTCTGGCCTCTGCCTTCCTTATTTTCTTATTAGTTCTATAGTTCACAGAGGACAGTGTTCATAAATAACTCACTCAGCTTCTGATATTGTTCTTTTTTCTTTCAGCATTTTATTTATATTGGTACATGTTTGCCATACACAATGATCACATTTGTTGGGAATTTGCACCTGTACATAATATATATTAATTATTTTTCCCCATTCCCCTCCCCTCCTTTCAATTCATCCCCTCCACATTTACAAAATCTTTGTTTCCATCATTTTCCTTCCATTATGTTGTTTTAAATCCATTTCCCTTCCTTTCCCCCTTCTCACCTCTGTTCTTCTTCCCATTGGACATGTTCCTTCTAATTCCCAGTATCTATCCTGATACCATTTTTGTGGTACGGTTATTCAGCAGATCATAGTGCTGGAAATGAAAGCTCCCAGAAGTCTCTGATTCTACTTGAAGATTCAGCCTCATGTTTAATCACATTTATCCAATAAATGTGTATTGAGCACTTATTATGCAGTGGAGTGTTTTGTTAGGCACTTAGTGGACAGATATTCAGTCTATGTCTTTAGCTTACAGAGACCAGCAGGGAAACAACATTTGCTGGGATGGCACAGTGGGGTGAACAAGAGGATGGTATGGTTGGAGCCTAGAGAATGAGGAGGAATGTTGAGAGATGATATTAGAGCAATAGGAGGGATCAAACCAGAGAAGTCTTGTGTGTCACACTGAAAATGTTAGATTTTATGGTGAGAGCATTAGGAAGCTAATAAAGGTATTTTTGATTCAGAAGTGTGATCCTGATTTCAGGGAATTTGATAGAGAATCTCTTCACGTGCTGGAGAAACTGTTGAGATTTAAGCTGAAGGACCAGTGAGGAGGCTGGCACCACTGTCCAGATTATTATTAGGAATGAACAGCAGAGAAAACTGGGAAGCATTTTGGAGGCACAATGGACAGTACATAGTGATAATTTGAACACGGGGAATAAGAAATGGAGTGGATGGGAAGCTGAGGCAGGAGGATCACGGTAAGTTCTTGAGCAGCCTAGGCTGTGAAGTGAGCCTAAGGCCAACCTGAACTGCATAATTAGACCCTGTCTCAAAAAGACAAAAAGAAAGAAAGAAAGAAAAGAAAAGGAATGCAGTGGATTAAGGATGATGCCCAAGTCTTTGAGATGTGTAAGGGGTGGTGAAGCCATTACTTAATAATGTCACTCTGGAAACAGAGGGAATAGGTTTGTGGAGAAAGGCAATGAGTTCAGCCCAAACATGCATGCTTTGAGATGGCTTTGAAGCATCTAAAAGAGGCTGTCCTGTGACCTGAAATGGGAGTCTGAGTTCAGGGATAAGGTCTGAGCTGGAGACACAAATGTCTGAATCCTGTTAGAAGTCTTAAGGCAAAAGGGAGAGGCATAGGGAGACAGGCAGATGACAGTCTGAGAAAAATGCAGATGTGGGAATAGGTCGTCCTCACCTAGGAAAGGGCACAGTCTCTCAAATACTGCAATAGGTGTTTTAGGGCCTAGAATGCGTATAACATGATGTGATTTACTAAGTCCTTTCCGGATGGGAAATTGCCTTGGTCCTATTGGTATCACTCCTTGCCTGTCTTTCTCTACTCTAAATATGAGATTCCTTGTGGTCATTTATAGCGAGCCCATTCCGGCCTCATCACAGTCTGGAGGGGTTATATTTGTAGTTCCAGAGAAAAGTTATTAAAATCCTAGTAAATTCCAATCTCTTACTTTCAGTGCAACTCAAGGAGGATGTTATGGCTTGAGAACTGGTGGTCAACTTAACGCCAGCTGGATTACATCAGCTTGCATTGAGAGAAGATGCTCCACCTGAGGAGGGTTGCCAGGATAAATAGGTGGAGAAGAAGAGAGGTGTTGGGAGGGATTGAGGCATTAAATAGGAGGCATTGTGGGTTCTCTTACGAGTTGCTGTCTGAGCTGTTGGTTCTCCTGGAGAAGCTCTGGTCTTCACATCAAGCATCGCTTCCTGGCTCTGGAGGGGAAGACATGTTCTGCTTGGTCTCCAGGATGAACTCGTCACACTGCTTCCTGGCACGTACCCGACTGTTCTTGTCGTCGGAGGAGCTCGGGGCCTCCGTGTCGCTGAGGACAGCAGTGGTGCCTTTCAGGATATCCATGATCTTTGTTGTGAGTGTGACTTCCCGGCTCCAGTGTAGAACCCTCATCCCACTAGCACAGCTCCTTCATCCTGCTGGCATAGACTTTCTGGCTTCCACCACTGACCCTTGGGTCTTCCTGGTACGGATCCATAAAAGAGACTGGTGTGAGTCCTTCTTGTGGGCTCTGGACCTCCAGTTGGACTCGTGGGAGGTATTGTTCTGAGCTCTGGGTTTTTATCTGGACTCATGTGGAACATTGCCATAGGGTTTAGGCTCTTGATCTATGTCTTTGGTGTTGCGGATAGATTTCCTGCATTTTCTTATGTTAAATTCTGGTGACCATTATAAAAATATTATGAACTTCATGTCCTAATCCTTGTTGTTCTCTGTGTACAACCCCTGACTACAACAGAGGGAATAAAGAGACAAACACATAGCTGCAATTGTGGGTGTCAAAGGGATTCTACGTCCAATTAAAAAAAATGGCTCACTGGAACAAAGTCCACAACCCAAGATTGAACCCAGTTTTCATTAATTTGTGAAGAGAAGTAGGGCTGGGGGTTGACTGACTGTGAGAATGATGGAAAGTATCAGTACTGTGAGCTGGTCTAGGTAGGAGACTCAATAGCACCTCTGCAATATGCAGATAGAGGAATGGAGAAAGAATACCAAATTCTGGTAACAGGTATCCTCTGAGTTTGGAAGAATCTACATAACACAGTTTGAGGAGGTATATTGTGTTTTTGGTTGGTTGCCTTAGCTTTGTTAACTGGTCTTCCTGCCCTGGGATGTCTTGGACTCTTTCTTGAGGCTCAGTCCCAGCCAACAGCATGATGTCTCTAAACCTAGCTCACATTTAGTAGTAATAGGCAGAGAATCATTGACCTGTAGCATGGCTTCAAAGGCTACACATCAGCGCCTCAGCTAGACCCATTTGCATTGCTTATAGCCAATTGAGGGAGCAGAGTATTATCCTAGCCAGCCCTGTACATGTCAATACATGGAATTAGGGCCAGGTTTAGCCAAAATGGAGATAAATGGTCTCCTTCCAAGGAGACCCATCCCAGTGGTCCTCAGAATTCATTCAATACAATATAAACATTGCATCAGGACCTGTATCTTAGAGAGCTAAGTATACAATGCAATTAATAGACTTCCTCAGGCAGAGTTGTGTAACCTGGATCCCATGAAAAAATCTGGTGGTCTTTCTGTTGCATCCTAGGATACCCTTGAAGCCCTTTCCTTTTAGCAAAGTGAGCTGCTTGATTGTTAAATTTATGCATCTAGTTTCTTCAGGGAGAGCTTGAGGACTTTTGGAGGCTAGGCAGAGGGGCACTCGGTACAGTGAAAATCTGAGTAGGGTGGGATGTTAGAGGAGGCCCTGAGGTAAGCCTGGAGATGAAGGGCATGTATCTTCATGAGGGAGAAGGTTTAAAGGGAGGTTTAGGGGTGAAGGTCACACAGATCAGATTCTCAGAAGTGTTTAAGACAGGCTTTACCTCTTATTTTATTTTTATGCTTTTTATTCTTGTTCATGGCCAGAATGCAACTTAGCAGCTACATGTGACTTGAGATGAGTTCAGAGTCCTGTAAAGCAGCACTCACTTGGTGAAGTACTCCTCTTGTCAACAGGGGGCCCAGACTAAAAGAAGCTTAAAATGATTCTAATTTTGAGTAGCCCTGATGGAACCACATGATCCACTCAAGAACTTGTGTAAAAATTGATGAGCTTTCAGAGCATTTGTGGAAAGTTGTCTATATTCCATGGGGATATTCCCGGGGCTCATGGGAGACACTGGGCAAGAAGTGGGCTCCACAGACAGAGGGAAGTACTTGACTCAGTCTCTCCTCCATCTTCACAGGACTCTCCATTCTGATTTTCCTGAGTCTAGCCCGCTCACTTCACTCCACAGACATGTATTGAGCACTGTCATGTCAGGCACTGTGGGATACAGAGACAAATCAACCGTGAGACTTTCCCTTTGTGAAACTATATAAGAAAATAAGACAAGGGCCCAAATGGAGGTCGCAGAACAGGATGGAGAGACACAGTAATAAAAACATACATAGAGTTCTGGAGACGTTTCAGGCAATTCTCTACTCTCTCACCATCTCTTTCATCTTTTGCTCAGCAAGTATTTATTGAGCAGTGATCAGAATTGTGAGCTCATACTACCTGTGATTCACTTCCAGCACCTTATTCCACTAGCTGAGTGACAACAGACAACTCAATGTCTTCGTATCTCAGTCCTTTCATTTGAATACTGAAGGTAGTATTGATTATGTGAGAGTAATTCAACAATTAAATACATGTAAAGTGCTCAAGATGTTCCTAGTACACAGGCAAGCTCAGAGCCAAATGTTGGTGATGACAAAAGTGGTGACAAATAGGACAACTACAATGCTGATGGTAGGACAGGTGCCAGGGATGCAGCCAGGAACATGCCACATAGGTAAAGTCCCAGGCTCCTGTTACTTCCACATTTGTGTAAAGGATAGAGAGAGCGGTAGAATGGGAAATATTTGATGGAGAATCTTTCCTTGAACTGAGAAGGTTCTGGAGTTGCAGCATACTTCAAGCTTGGGCAAATGGTGGGGTGGGAAGGAGGGATAGTAACATGTGGAGAATGATGCATAAGGTGCTGTTAGAGAATCATACAGAAGCAGGTCCAGGTGTTAGGGCCTGATTCTCTAGTCCAAGCCCAAGTACACCTCAGCCCTCTTTCTTACGGCAGGGCCAAATGATTAATCATATGGAGAGTCAATTCTTCATCTGGTTGAGGAGTCACTGACCCACTTCCAAAACAGCAAGCATCAGCTTAGCTTGGAAATAACAGACTGTGAAAGTCACAGCCCTCACATCCCACCTTGCCAATTCTAATGGTGAATGAGACATGGAGTCCATACAGAATCATCTCTTGCTACTAGGCATTACCTTTCCCATGGACTGCCTGAGACAGGAAGATTATTTCCCCTGTGTTATCTCCCCCACTTCACCCCTGGGAAGAGAAGGCTTTCCTCTTGAATGCAGCCCAACACTAGGTAGCAGCAAGGCTTTAGGCTCAGACTCTCCTAGCACTTGTGCCTTGGCTTTGCTGTTTGGGACCAGAAGCAAACCTTGTGATCATGAATGGCTCACTGGAAAACAGGGACACTATGAGTACTGCACAAGCCAGCTCTGAATGTGAAATGAATAAATGCATATAGAGAACATGGTACAGACTAGATGCCCACTTCATGTCAGTTTCCTTTTCCTTTTTCAGGGTTCTAAGTCTCTTGAGGTTCATCTATGTGGTGCCCAATAAATTCCCCTTAAGCCTGAACATCAGTGAGAAACAAGACATTCTGGGCCCTCAGAAAAAAAAAGCCACTGCCTTTATACTATGTCTCCTTCTTCCTACTAGGATCCTGGCAACCTGAATTCCATGCTGGTAATGGTGCATGAAGCTGCCAAATGGTAAAGAGCAAGAGTTACCTTGGGTAAAATAAACAAGTTGGGACAATTGTGCCCAGCCTCTTCCTTGTGATTCCCACTACAGCCTGAAAGGGACTTGTGAGGTGCCCTGCCCCAGTCAGTAGCCCCCGCCGCACCCTGACCCCCAGTGTCCGTACAGCTCCTACTTGATGGAAATGATAGAGTGTGTCTGCTACAGGAAGGGAAAGTGACCATGGTCCCAGCCTCTGCACACTGAAGTCTACCACCACATATACACAGTGGCCAAGTTTTCCATTGCTCCTGCCCTTAGGCTGAGTGCAGCACAGATGCTGAGTGGACTGGGCTCCTTCATCAGCTGACTCTGGTTCAGGGACTTCTCAGTGGCTTTTTCAAACCTTTCTAAGATTGATAGGCAGTCTAGGATGCTTCCACCCAATCTTTTTCCTTCTTTCTCATTTCTGCAGGGTCAGATTTACAGCATGGTCTAACAGAATCCCAAGACTTCATAACTCATCCCTGGTATCATCATCATCATTTCCTTTTACCTAGCATGTTCCCTAATAAAATCCCATCACACTTAATCTTGGAGGACCCAGGCTGAAACACATCTTCATGACCATTTGCTTGTCATGTTCTGTGTTTCTACATCTCCCATCTTTACACGTGCCTGACCTCACACTTCAGCAGATGTGCCTGGTGAAGTGTTCTTCCTGGTATAGCCCAGAGATAATGTTGTCTAGTACATTTGTAGGGGTCTCAAACACGACCCATATTCAGCGCAAGAAAATGTATCTAGTAGGTACACAATCACCTGCCTTTAACTATTAATGATATTTTTTAAACAGAGAAATGTTCATTCTTACAGCACACAAAACATTGTAAAAACCCAAAATAAAAACAAACCAAACATACTTTTGTGCTGTAAGGCAAGGTATTTAAGATGTAACATAATGTGCCATAGGTAATAAAATAATTTGATATGTGTACATGCATTGTAGAAACTATCATACAACTACATTGTGTAAATTGATAGACACTGTTAGTCCCTCAGACGAACCTATTTTTATGATCTGGAGCGAATTGAGACCGAGTCTAAAAGTGGTCAAAAGATGGAGATAGGTGAGAAGTACGCTTTTCTGGAAAGGAAGTCAGAGATAGTAGACTTGGGGTGAAGCTACAGCAGTGGGGCTTGGGGAGCCTGAAACAGTCCCCTGGACATGAAGTTAGCAGTTATGTAGCCATTTCATGGGGATCAGCCAGGAAGTGTGGAGATAAAGACTGATGACAGATGTTTAAAACCCACTGGCAGATCATCTCCTCCTCCAAGTCTCCTTGATCTTGCAGTTCAAAGTACTCCAGGCTGTCTTCAACCCACTTTACCTACTCCTCACGTGATACAGGGCCCTCTCAGTCTTGGGCCCAGCTCCACATGATTGGCCTTTCTCAACTCTTTGCTCCTGGAAACCCAGAGCTACAGCTAGCCCTTTATTCAAGGTTTTGCACTGTCCCTCTTTTGGTGGAGCTCACAGCAGAAAGGAAGATAGGCAGGCAGGCAAATCCTGTTACACAAAATCTCCCTGCAAGAATTTTGTGACTCTATACCTGCTGACATTGATCCACATTCTAAATTTCTGAAACCTGGAGAACATTTGAATATCGTGAATGAGAATGCTATTTGGTCTTTGGAGCTATAATTTTTTCTTGCAGCTTTGTGCTGTAATTAATTGCCTGATGAGTCCTGGGGTGGAAATGACAGTCAGATTCATTTAGATTAATGAATTATTGTTGTTTGTAAATGATACAATTGTCTCCAGTTTAATAAGTGGGTTTTAATAGATTCTTATGATGGACATTTGATTCTTCGACAAGGAGGATAACGATGACAACTTTCCTTTTTTCTTTTGCTCCTAGAGGCTTCTTGGCCCTGTACCAAAGCTGAGGAAGTTTTTAAGAATCTGGAATTGGGTAATTGTTGGAAAAGTCTGCCCTCCAGCAAGTATGGGCCTTTTAGATTGGAAGGAATGTTAGAA